AATATAAATTAAGGGTAAATATAGATAATAAATACTTAGGAAATTAATAATATAAAGTATAAAATAATAAATTATTATAAAAATAAAAAATATTACTAAATAGCTATTTTAATTAATAATAGTATTATTATTAACTAATAAATATATATTTAATTTAAAGTTAAATATTTAGCCTTATCTATATAACTAGTTATATAAATAACACATAACCCTAAACGCATTACTAGTTATATAGGTATAAGTCCCCTGCTGACCTCCAGATATAACTCATCTCAGCGCGCGCGGCTACTAAAAGGGGATTAAGACGCTGTACGAGAAGAAAAGAGTGGTAGGGTGGGGTCAATGGCTGTGGCAAGCGAACCTATCGGTGATCGCTCTTAAAAAGAACACCCCGCGCGAGCTTAGGGCTGTGGCCATAGGCTATAGAGAAACCTCAGCAGTCGATATTGAAGAAAGAAAAACAGCTAAGCACAAGCATTATCTTCTGACTATATTGGGCCTCAACAATGGATTTTGCATTTAGTTACATGTGCTTGTGACATAATTAAGCTCTCTTATCATGCTCGAAACATCACAGTTTGTTTGAGAGTTAAGTCGCGCATAGACGCTAAATACAGGCCTTCAGAACATTTTAGGTTCCCTAAGCTCATTCGCAAACATTGTAAATCTGTCCAAGGCCGTGACATTTTCCAATCTAGTCGGGGTGGCCGTCAGTAAGCAGTATCGTCGGATAGAGGACCTGAAGTTACCTACCACGTTGTCGTAACAGCAGACTGTACCGCGATAGCAATGCTAGCAAGGAGGGCGAGAACAATGAAGCGCATTATGGGAGTTGGATTCGATGTTGGACTAGGTGGACACTATCCGATTGAACGACGAGGAGAATACCGGTACCTATGAATTAAGGGCAGAGGAAAACAAGAACAGTAGGTTTTATAAAACATCCAAAGTACCTGCCCGACTAGATAAAATATCCGTGGCCGTACTTGTAAAACTAGTGTGCAGGGTACATTAGCAGGTTATGATGCAAACTGCAGAAAGGCGGAGAACGGTTTTGGCCCGCAGGGTTACAACGCTGAAGTCATCCATGACGGACTTAGCAAGGTTGGGCTGTTCATTTTGTGGAAAGAAAACACATGTTCGGAAATATATATCATTAAAAATTAAGATGTCTGTTCTAATGCATCTAAGAAAATTATTTATAGAACTGGCCTAAACAATGCTGCTCAAGTCCTATGCTCCTAGAATCCATGTTTATATCCCGAACACCTTACTCGTGTTGTCCATAAGAAAGGTAATAGTCTGGCACCCGAGGCCAGTGGTCAACTCCATCCTGGATAATCATCATCATGCCACCTTGAAGATGATTGTCAATATGGCAATGTAGTAGCCAAGCCCCAGGGTTCGTGACATGATATCTCACGACTATCCAAGTCACATTGCCGAACGCGGTTAGCGACGCAAACCCATCCCTTTTGGGGGGGTTGACCAGGTTGAAATTCTCTGGTATATCATTGATTGCCTCTTCGGTCGAGTTCCATCTGAAGTGGCCTATTCCGGACCCAATTTGGAACATCTTGTTCCCATGCTTGTGAATCGGGTGCGGAGGCATAGGCTCGCTGCCAGTAAAAAACAAAAGGTCTACCCAGGTATTGAGCTTGGTGGTGATAGTAACATTGTTCTGTCTATCAACAGCTGGCCCGAAGAGTACAGGCTCCACAGCTGCATCAATATCCGTGGGCATTAGCCGCGTGTGGTTCATAGCCCAAAGGTAAGAAGCACCATCCACCTGCATGCTGAGCGGAAAGAAAGCGTCAGCTTTGGCAGCAACAAACTCAGGCGGAAATGGATATGCAATATCTTGGTTGAAATATTTGACTTCTGGAGAGGTAGGCCTCCCGGCTATATCGATGTGAGGAGTAGAGACGCTGGTGCTGTTCTTGCTACCGACTGATAGTATTGCGTGTCCCATGAGGATTTGGGCTATGTTGACCGAGCTGCAGCGAATCTTGAATTTTCCGGCACTCTTCACATTTACAAATACCGAATACCGGTCGCCATTGGACACAGTTATCGCTTGGACCTTTTGTGGCTCAACGTAGGAGCCGTCCACGGCATATACCCACATGTCGTGTTCATCGATGGACATAACTGCGGTGATAAAGCTGAAGCCTCCAATGATGTCGATAGCGGCCCACTCGCCTATTATATCATCCGGTTCTCGTGTCTCGATAGTTTCGATTGAACCCTTCGTTGTTTTGCACCCCGAAAAAACAGTTTTGGGTAATGCGTCCTCATCACCGCTACCACCACCAAACTTGATCAACGCAGAAGCAGGGAGGCAGCTACCGAAAGGAATATCAGTTTTTATTCAAAATCTTGCTGTGGATCATGTCGTACCCTTTGTCCGTAATTGATGCTCCTGGTACTGTGCCCAAATACTCTCGCTGTATTTGGCTCAGGTGCTTATTCAAGTCGTTTATATTTGGGCATTGAACATGCCCCTTGCCGTTAAATAGGATAGAGTCATAGCATGAGATCTCTATGCCAGCCTCCTGTGTCATTTTCCATTTCTCATCGGATGTCAGATGCGTAAAATCAGACACAAGAAGTGGTTTGATTGCTCGTTCGGCCTCCTCCAGACGTCTTTGAATCTTGACATCTGTTGAAATCAGGTGAAATGGCTTAAGCTTGTCTCTCCTTGGACGGACCAATATGGGGCCGAGGAGCCCGTCTTCGATCTGGCCATGGAAGTGGGAATGATACCAATAGCTACCATACTGAGTTGCCTTGAACTCGTAAACGAAACTGCCACCCGGTCTTATCGGCCGTTGCGTTACTCCTGGAACGCCGTCTGACCAAGGAGTATCGGCCATTTCTATTCCTAGATACTGTCAATGATTGACTGCTCTGAGCTCTTTTTCGAAACATACCATGGTAGTGAATTGTCGTGTTGAATGGAGAATTGTTAAAAACAGTGACAGATACTCTGTCTCCCTCATTGATATCGATGAGGGGACCAGGCGATTGTCCATTGACCAGCATCATCTTCCTAGTAAAACCATCTGGGGTATAATTCTCCCACGTAATGGTCAAGTCGAAGACCCTCTTTCTCCCTATGAAGATCGAGGTTTTATTTGTTCTTGTGCCAGCGTCGACCGCCAACTGGGAGTCAACAGTATCATAAATTGCATGGCTTGTGGGCCACGCAAATAAACTCATGAAGAATAGTTGGACATGTAGAACAAAAAGGGGAAGCCAAGCTGATCGGGCCATGGCAAAGGGAGCGGACGTAAGAGAACACAAAGCTGTAAAGAGCTAGATAATTCCGGGTACAAATGCTTCGACGCTTCTACGTTCTTTATATTAGTCTGATAATCTCTCCGTTCGGTATCTCGGTAAGTGGAGATTATGATCGCCAATTAATTCTTATTTAGTTTGACGATCTAGGGCACTAGTAGATATTTTCAACTATTCCCAGCTGAATCATAGCCACGCTGACCTCGCTCGGTAACGGCTAAGATCTTCTGACTGACTTAAGGATAATCGGGAACTCGGGAGTTCCACTGTAGCCGACGTCATGTTCAACGGGCGGCTGGTTGTAACAGCCCGCAAAATTGAGATAATCTACACGATTGCTTAGAGGTCGTGCATTCTTCGAGGTTCCGCTGGCGAGTCGGCACACTTCTTACACCGTTTTGCTTTTTGCCTCATCTACCCCTTAGCCATGCGCACCGACCTGAATTTACGGCTGCAGCCTCTTACTTTTCCTTCTTTTTAAGTATAAATTAGATTGGAACCTTACCCAAGTCATATGGTTAGTTGTAGTTAATGAAGCTAGCAGCTGTCATTGGCTAATCTTAACATTTGCGAGGAACACAGTTTTCACACACCTTTTTCCATAAAATTTCACGACTGCCTGAACTTGGCGAGTGGTCTCTCAGTCCGTCAGATGTATCTAGGTGGTGACAGCAAACTCCGTGTCCAGGATCATCTGCAGGTAGTCAGAATTCAAGTGGGTGCTTTAGGTTTGAGACTAACCCTTAAAAGGATGTCCTCTACGCCGTAGGATACGTCATTACCGCGCGGCTGGCCAAGGGCTCCTGTCGCGCGGCAGAGCTCCGCTCGCTAGGCATATTGGTCAGAAGAGCAGTATGCATTTAATGGATTCTGCGTTTGCGCTAGAGCGGTCAAGGTACATAATGATGTCTCTCATAATCTTATTCTAAGATAAAAGGCTGGAGCAGAGAAGACCCACATTCCGGTGTCTTGGTATTTCCCGCTCGGTCGTTCCCTAGCAGCTAAATGTGTCACAGCGCGTCGCGCCCTACCTTTACCAGAATAAGTAAATCTGGATATGAGAGTTTAATCCGCGCGGCTCGGGGTTTGTCTTACCTTGGTCCCACAACAAGCCAAACTCCGATTAGTAATGCCTTCTTATAAACCCAAAATGGAAGGATACCTTGGACATTCCTCATTTGATCGATATGACAGATTTCTGGCTTTTAAAGTAGTACCAGTGCCTCCATGAAAATAATTATATCAACCTTACTTTCAAGTCAAGTTCAAGCGATTCAGTCTAATGTCAGAATGTCGAACAAAAAGATCATCACTGCCATCGGTTCTGCCGGTTCCCAGGGCGGCAGTGTCGTTGATATATTCCTCAATGACCCTGTACTAAACAAGGAATAGGCTGCTCGTGCTATCACCCGAGACCCATCGGAGGACAAAGCCAAGAAGCTTGTCGAACGGGGTACTGAAGCTGTCGCTGTAAGTCATAAACAAAGCTCAAATCTCCCGTCCTTGATCATTGGTAGCTGGCGGTCGGAAAGGGTAATTTGAACAACAAGTTCTCTCTTGTCAAGGGCTTCACTGGCGCAACTGCAGTTTTCGATGTCACCAATCATTGGGAAAGCATGAGTATCGACCCCGAGATCCAGCAAGGCAAGAATATTGCTGATGCTGCCAAAGTATGTTGATTACCGATATCAATTTTGGCACGATCAGACTCTTCTTCTTTCCTTAACAAAGGAAACTGGCGTCTCGCACTTCACTTATAGTTCATTGCTCGATATTAAGAAACGCAAGACTTATTTTCGCATACTTAAGGAAGAGCCGCTCTGACATGCGCAGTTACAGACGGCAACCTTCCTCATGTTTATCACTTCAATGGTAAGGCTCGTATCGAAGAGTATGCGAGAGAGTGTGGCGTTCCCTCGAGTTTCTTCCTTCCTGGCAAGTATCTGCAATCCCTGATAGACTTCTTCCGACAGAACGAAGGTGCCCGGGCTTTTGCTGCTCCCATGCCAGAATCCGCGCCTATTCCCATTTTCGATGTTCGCGACACCGGTATCTGGGTAAAAGCTATCGTGTTGAAAGAGGACCAACTTCTGGGGAAGAGGTTCTAGGCTCTACCAGATACACGACTCCTTGAAGGTGGTTGATGCTTTCAAGACAGCATTCCCCGAGGCATGGAAAAAGGCCGGGTTCTACAGTTTACCCTATGAAGCATTCCTTCAGGGCAGGGCGTGAAGGAGTCAATGGGTACGCCAAATTGGGTAGCTGGAGAAGTGTTGGAAAACATGCAGCTCGTTGCCGAACGCGGTTACTTCGCTTTTGAGCCACTTGATGACACCCACGCCGCGCTGGTGGGTAACAAGCCGACCTCCTCGATCGACTTTTTAAGGGGGCATGAGTCCCTCAAGGACCTGAAGCAGCTCAGGTAATCGGCATCTAGGAGCCAGTGTATTAGAGCATCTATTCAAGTATACAATGTTCTCCATGATTGTTTACCATCTCTTGCGAGCGAGATTGTCTAAATGGGTGAGACTTCTAGAGGGCCATCGCGATACAAGGTTCTATTCGATCACCAAACAGAAGAATCCCCAATCTTAGGTACACGATACTTCCATACATAGGTTACTAACCAATCCATTGCACAAAATGGGTGTCACCTCGCTTTTGGTCCAGCGGAGAATGCAATCGCCCCGAAGGCTGTGACAGGGCAAGACTTGAGTTTATCTGTGACTGAAGACGGAACGTTATGGGCGGATAAGAAGGGAGACATGAAGAAATATTGGGATGAGTTAATAAGCTTGCTAAACGCAGACCCAGCGAAATGATTGAGCCTGTCGTGCGTGGATGCGCGGGATACAGCATAAACCTATAATTCATTTAGTCCCTCATTGCATACAGCTTCCACAGAATGGACTTAGATCAACCAGCTCTTATATGTGCACGTGAGAAGTGGCTTCGAGGTTAGAATCTAGACAAGTAACCCGACTCTACGGCCAGCATGAATGAGAACGACATATTTGATCAGATTCATAGCTAAGTATATCGCAGGGCGAGTCTAGTGGGCATTCCCATGGCCTACTTTACTAGATATACCGTGCCTCGTGTTTCCTGAGACCCTACACCATGAGAGGAGAACGGGATAAAACCGAGATCAGAACTATCTATTTCTTAGCAAATGAACTGTCCCTCAACCAAGATTCCAATGTCTGGTGAGCAGGATGAACCTTTTGGAAGGTTGACCGATTCGCCTTATAACCCTCATCTCTAAACCAATCAACCATTACCCCCAGCTCTTTGACTCTCGCCTTCACAGCCTTCGCTAGTAAACCGAATGTTATCGGTGCTGGCTTCCCAGTGGCTCTAAAAAAAGATTCATCAAGTTGAGATGCAGTCAACTCATCGCTGACAAGGCCGATTGTCTTTTTGTTCCAGACATCCGGGTGTAAAAAAGCCTCGGCACCGAAGAAGCCAATGTCCTTAGTAGAGACCCACTGTAAAGGCTTCTCTTTTAATGTATCGCGGAGTATGGTAAGGAGAACCTTACTCTCGAATCCGGGGGACAGATTGTCCATGAAGATTGTAGGCCGCAAGATCGTCCAGCCCATGGGCGTCCCTTGCGTGGCATCACGCAGGTGAATCTCGATCTCATGCTTGGTCTTGAAATGCGGTACCGGTGTGGGGTTAACCCAAGACCTCTCATCACCTCCACGCTCAACACTACTGTAAACAAAGTGCTGAACCCCCGCTTTGATTGACTCGTCCACTAGGCTTCTCCCCTGTTGGACCTCGATGTCGAGTGTCATGCTCTTGTCCGTGGAAACTGCAGCCTGTACTGAATAGACACCCCACAGAGGGACTTCTCCAGCCACAGCCTTGGCAGATTTGAAAAGATCAGGGATAGCGTTGAGATCTCCTTCGATGATCTTGATCGAGGAGGATTTTGCAGCGACGCGTTTGGCAGAGGCGGAGTTTGCATTGCGCGTAACGGCGAGCAGGAGAAAGTTGGCTGGCTGCCTCGCAAGCACGGAGTCAATGAGAGCTCCACCCTGTTTACCGGTTGCTCCTGTGATGAGAAGAGCACGCGACATGACTACCGAGGCTCAGATGGTGTGAAAGCGAGGAATGAAACAAGAATAGGATGTGGAATGGCACTCCAAGTTTGGTTCAGATGAGGCGGGAGGATGTGACTTATGGTTATTATACTAAAACCTGGCTTTGATCTAATAAACACCGTCAGTGGATCTCGGAGACTTTAGGAAGCGGCCATCGGCGAATGCCAAGATGCCGTAGGTAATAATGAAATCTCCACGCTTTACTCTATTAGGACATTCGCGTCGAGTTTACTAGACTCGGCACTGAGTAGCGCCATGGCAGCTGGATGTCGTCCACCGCGCGGGAGACACTGCGGGCATCGCAAGTGTCTCCCGCGCGGTGGTATTACGACCTAACAGGCCTCCACGTACACCCTACATTTTTCTACCAATTAATACCACTCCTGCTAAAGACAATTAGCACTAAGCCTCTACAATTATAACTAATCTAAAGTAATTAGTACTGATCTATCTAGATTACTACTAATCCTATAATAACCTTACTAATTACCTATTATATTTTAAGTATATATATATATTTATTTAATATTAAATAGAACTTAGCTTACTAGCTATTAATAATACTTCTTTACTTTAATAAGCCTAACCTATATTATTAACTATTAAGAGATATAATACCTTAATATACTTAGTATAATGCCCTATATATTCTATAAATATAAACCTAGTATAGACTAGTT